TTTTCATAAAGTTTAATATATTAACTATATCATTTTCTGTAGTTCAACTTTTTGGAAAGTTTGGTTCAAATGATCATTAGAAAGAGTTGTGAGAATAATAATGACAATTATTATTTTTAAGAAAAAAAAGTTTAATTATATCTATATTTATAAATAAATATATAAATAATATATAAGTTTAACTACATATATTATTATTAGCTTAAACTTGTAATTAAAGTTTCTATATATTAATAATATATTTGATTTTTTAGTATATACAGTAGCTAACAAAAGTAATGTCTAATTTTTAATTAAAAAATAAAATTTTTAATTATTTAATTTTTTGGCTATATATACATTAAATTTTTTTTATATTTATTTAATACTTTACTAAGTGATCTTTTATACTTATAATAATATCAATTCTTTATATTATTGAGTCTGCAACTACATGAATAACCAACATATCCAAATTTGACTATGCTTCCTATAAGCCTATTTTAAGGTCAGATTTATTTTTTAGAAAGTTATCATAGTTCTGAATATTGTTCTTTATAATTTTTTAAATATTTTATATAAGGTTAAGATTAGAGATCATGAGAGCCAATCTATATAATCAATATTTTTCAAATTTAACCAATCTGATACCTTATAAATTAAAATATTGTCATGTTGAAAAATCAGATAAAGAATGTTTAACAAATAAATTATAACTATAAGCAATATAAGATGATTCTTTAACAGCTTGTTATAAATATTTTTATTAATTTTTTGTTTAAAACTTTGTAATCATTAAAAAAATTATAAGACTTTTGATGTTATCAATAAAACATAACTAAACCATTACCAAGACCTTTCTATTTTTAAAATTTATTTGCAAATACTTATTTTTGCATCTCTTATCTACACAATATTATACACAAACTTGACAGGATTGTTTATCTAGTTCTATACTCATTTCATCTAAAAAAATAATATGTTTTCAATAATAAACATCCTTATTTTTATTTTGATTACACTATTCTATATATTATTCTATTGCTATTTAACAAAAAAACTTCAAAATAATAATATAAGAATAAAATCCAATGTTGTGTAAAATCCTAACTATAGTCTGCATATTGCATTAAAACTTTAAATTCTCTACATTTTTGAGCAGTAATATATAATTTTTTTTATTTGTTGCTTTCTTAATGTCGAAGAAACCAAGTACATATAAAAGAATTTTTTTAATAAAAATGGCATGCAAACAAATAATAAAAAAAGAGAAAAAATAATTTTTACTTATATCAGTACAATGCATGCTGAACAAATTACCCACAAGATTAAGCATAACTCAACAAAAAAACTAAAGATTTTTATAAGAATACAGATGAATTAAAAAAATTAAGAATTTACCTCAATCTGAACATTCTTCCATCCTGAAGAAGCAAGAAAAGACTGCTATAGTAAAAAAAAACATTAAAAAAAAAACAAAATTGCCTCAAAATTTATAAGAATGGGATATGTACAGCTCTTTTATTTGCTTATATGTAATGATCTGCAAATTGAGCATTACTTTGTTGACTACTGTACATATATAATGTCAAACTAAAATATAATAAGTTATAGCCAATAGAAACTACAGTTAAAATGATAGTAGTTTTTTTGGATATTGTTGGGTTATACTGGGTCTGTTTACTAAACCTAACCTGAATTCAACATTTAATAAACTTAACCTGAACTGGGCCTACTTTATAAACAAAACTTTAAAATTTGTATTTAGTCTAGACCCAAACCTGGCCTGATTCTAAAACCTACAGGTTTAGCCCAACATAATACAAATTCTAGATATAAATAAGATACTATTTATAAAAGTATTACATCATTATTTTTTAGATTTTTTAAACCAACATGTGAACAACCCAAATTTTAAACATCATATAAATGTAAACATTGAGTCACAAGATATTATCTTTTTAAATTTTGTGTTTAAATGATACAATATCATTAATTACCACTGTATATTCAATCAAATATGCTCAATAATGATTATATATTGATTTATATCTATTGTACAATATTTTGATTTAATGAATTGGATTAGTATGTATATACTATTTTTGAATTGTATTAAATACAATGTTATACAGTATTCTGTATTAATAAAAATTAATTCAGGTCACTATGTAGCAATAACTGTAACTTGATTAATAGCTACATACTGGTAATCTTATATGGATATAATCTACTTATAGCATGTTTAAGGTGTTTTTAAGTGTGTACTTGTTAAATAAAATATAAAATATATAAGTCATTACATTAAAAAAATTTTTTTAAAAATAAAGAAAAATAGTCAGTGAGTTTATCATTTTTGTCAACAGATTTATTTTTCTAAATCATTTTTACTTTGTATTGCTTATCAAAAATTTATTAGAGTAACTTGAGTTAATCAAGTTAGTGCTTTAGAAGGTTGTTAGATTTTAAAACATAAAGTATTAAATTCATATAATAGAAACAAATTTAGTTGATTAATTTTTTTAAAATTTAACAAGTTTTACTTTTAATAACTCAATATTATTTCTCTTGATTAGTGCTTAGATTTAGAAGATATTCAACTATTATTATACCTATCTATTAAATAAATACAAATTACAGATATCTAATCATAAACCATTCAACTAAATCTGTTGAATTATTAAAAAATATAAAATATTTTATTATACATATAATTGAATATATGATATATTGTTAAACATTTACATATATATATAATATATGTTATAAATACTTGTAAATAAATATTTATATATATATAAAATAATCTATATTATAAATGCTTGAAAAATAAATTTATATTTTAATGAAACATTCTACTAGTACAATTTGCATTTCTTTTAAAAAATAACATACATTCAAATAAATCAGAATTTAAACAGATGTATTTTGTAGTTATAGATTCCCAGCATCACTAAAGAGCCATTTACTAAGTATGAATATAGCTAGAATATACAAATATTTTTGTGCCATTTTGTCTAATATAGGAAAGTTTAATTATTAGCTATTTTATCACTTCAAAGAACACTGAATATTTAGAATTTTTAGTAATACAAGATAAGCTTAAATTTTATTATTAGCTTCGAGTTTTTAATAAGATCATACATAGCAGCTAATAACATATTTTCTTCTTCTTCATAATCATCTGTTTGCATTATATTTATTAGTATTAATTCTTGTTCTTTAAATACATCATATTCAAAGATTAAATAGTTCTTAGCTTTAAGTCTTTGTAAATAAATAGTGAATTTTATTTTTTATTACTAGGATCAAGAAGTGTTGCAAAAAGGGCTTCATGGATTAGATATTTATAGTACTGATTCAGTGCATTAAATAATACAATTCTTATATTATCAATTATATTATCACAAATTTGTAGGTTATTAATTTTTTTTTGATTAATTTTTATTTCTAATCTGATGTCAAGTATTTCAGACTCATCCATGAGTTTAATTTCTTCTTTAAGTTCTTGGTCTTCATTAAAAACTGTATCCGAATTATCAAGATCTGTAGAAATTTAAGTATTATTCATAATATTAAGTAATTTTCTAAGAGAAGATATAGCAGGAAACATGTATGACATTGTAAAGTATTCACTTCTATCAAGCATCTTTGTGGCAGTAGCAAAAGGTTATAAAATTTAACTAGATCTTTCATTAATCACCATTCATCAGATATTAACATAATTCATTTAAGGCATTATGTATCTTTTTTAATTAAAGGATCTTTACTATAATTCATGATTATTTGCATTACTTTAATTATTGGTTTTAGCTTTAAAATTTATAACCATGCTAAGTATGTTGAATTTCATCTTATGCCAACATCTATTATAACTTTAAAATAATTATAATTATTATTAATATTATCATATACTATGTGATTTAAAGAAATTTAAGTGATTTCAAGTTGTTTATTCTGCTTAGTTGATGTAAAAAATTGTATTAATCATTTTGTTCATGTCATTAAAACTTTAACTGGTAATAATCCTTTTCCAACAACCAATTGTAGAATGTGTACACTACATAAAAGACAATCAACCCCTTCAATTTCCATAATAGTATTTTTTTATATTTTTTTGTATTGTTACTTGTTATCATAAAACATCTCTTATTTAAGTTCCAATCTTGTATAATCAATTTTAATATAGAAGAAATTTCATGTACTGTATATGGATGCCTGAATTCATAAATTACTAAACTAATTTCTTGTAATTTAAAATAAGAATTAATCCATAAATATGTAACATCCAAATATCTAGTATTATTTTGTACTGTCTAAAGATTAACTGTTAATCTACAATAATTCAATGAATCTTTTAATTTATCTTGAAGAATGACTAATATTTGATTATATATCATATAAATTCTAGTCTTAATATCTTTGCTACTAGGTAGTTCATAACATGAATTAAGTTTCTTTAAAAGTTTTACAAATGTCTGATTTTCTAATATATAAAATAATTAGAAATCTGATATAAGAAATTTGACTAGTGTTTTATCAACTTTCTCTTTAAAATTAACATTATTTTTTAGTTGTTAATAAAACATCTCATCAATTGACCTTTGAGAGATATCCAATACTAATCAACCAAGTTTTGTAATTCCATATGCACTTTGAAAATGGTAGCTAAAATTTCTGTGTCTCCATCTGTTTTAATAATGTGATTACATTTTGTTCCATCATTTTTTAGTTCATCACATTGGCCTTTAGTTCCACATATAGTAGGTAATAACTTAAAATGATCCCATACCCAACTTCTTCTCCTTGAACCTCCTCTTTTATTCATTACTTTTATTTGGTTAGTATCTACTGAACTTGTAATAGCAGTATTATTGGTCAAGCAACTTATAGGAGATTCGCTTGTGCCTTTATTAGACAGTATACTATCCTTATTATCCATCGTTATGAATGAAATATAAATTTACTGATTTCTAATTAACGTAACCTTTATACTTATATTACATAAACTTTGTTTATTGATATAACATTTATAATGCATCATTAATATATCAATATTATTGACTAAATACATCATTAAATATTGGATAATCAAACAGATATCCGACTATCATCAAACATTTATCCGTTATCTGATAAAACCAGATATTCAATGTATAATCCAATGGATTTTTTGAACGGATCCAAGCACTACCTTGATAAATTGCATAATGATATATAGAATAAATAAGTCAATACTTAAAATTTTTTTCTTCCGCATAAATTCTAATTATAAAATTATGTAATTTCTCATATTATCACATTAGTTTTTCTTCCCTTTATATGTGAAATAAATTTATTAAAAATTTTAGTAAAAAATAAATAAATATAATATAATATAATAATAATAATAATAATAATAATAATAATAATAAGCTTATTCACCAGTAGTCAACGCTTTGAGAATTTTTTTCTACTCCGATTCCATTTCGATAGCACTTTATAACTTGATTTATTCCAGTATTATTTCCCATCATTGCAGATTTTATATAACAATCGAATGCTCTTTGCTCATTTTTCTCAACTCCAATGCCATTTTGATAACAATAACCAATCTCATTGATTCCTTCAACAAATTCCGCTTCAGCAGATTTGTGAAAATAAACGAATGCCCTAGATTCATCATTTTCAACTCCAACTCCATTTTTATAACAGTAACCAGTCATGTACGCTCCTGCAATATGACCCATATTAGCGGATTTCTGATAATACAAAAATGCTTTTTGATCATCTTTTTCAACTCCAATTCCGGTTAGATGACAATAACCGACGTTATACGTTCCTTTAACATGACCCATATCTGCTGATCTTTTATAATAAATGAACGCATTGCATACGTCTTTTTCAACCCAAACTCCACTATAATAAAGCGTACCAAGTTTAAATATTCCTTCGACTTGGTCCATTTCAGCAGATTTTTGATAATGGATAAATGCTTTATGTTCATTCATTTCAACACCAATCCCCTTTTCATAACAATAACCAACATTAAATGTTCCATTAGCATCACCCATGTCTGCAGATTTTCGATAATAAATGAATGCTTTATGTTCATCCTTTTCAACTCCAATTCCTTTTTCATAACAATACCCGACGTTACATGCGCTATCACCGTCCGTATCAGCAAGTTTCTGAAAATGAATGAAAGTATCTTTTTTTCCAAGTGATTTTTGAAAATAAGTATAGGCAAGATGTTCATCCTTTTCAACTCCAATTCCATATTTATAACAATATCCAGTATTATATATTCCATTAGCGTTTCCCATTTCTGCCGATTTTTGAAAATAAGTGAAAGCTTTACATTCATCCTTTTCAACTCCAATTCCATTAAAATAACAATATCCAACCATACTTATTCCCGTTGCATCTTCCATCTCTGCAGATTTTAGATAATAAATGAATGCTTTATGTTCATCCTTTTCAACTCCTATTCCATTTTGATAAAAGCATCCAACCATATATGTTCCAGGAGGATCTCCCATCTCTGCAGATTTTTTATAATAATTAAATGCTTTTTGTTTATCCTTTTCTATTCCAATTCCATTTTCATAAGAATATCCAACATTATATGTTCCAATAACATCACCCATCTCTGCAGATTTTTGACAATAGATGAATGCCTTTTGTTCATCCTTTTCAACCCCAACTCCATTGCTATAACAATAACCCGTAACATTTAATCCTTCAGCATGCCCCATTAAAGCAGATTTTTGAAGATATTTAAATGCTTTAGGTTTGTCCATTTCAATACCACCACGTCCAGTAAAGTAACATTTGCTAAGAGCAAATATTTCATCAGCATTAATTATTTCACTGGATTCCTGATAATAAACGGATGATTTCTTAGAATTGAGTTCTATGCATTTACTTTCTTCAAACTGAATTAATAAACTTTCACTATTCTCTTGCTTATGTTTAACATCTTTATTATAAAATTAAAATGATTATATTAGAAAAATGTTATTAAGTAACGATTGTCTATATTGTAAACTAACCATTGTCACTTGTATAATTTCCGAGTGGCAAAAAATCAAATCGTCTGCTAACATGATTCATCATAAAATGAGTTGGTGTTGAAGTGTCGGATTCCAAAAAGTTTTCACGTGTTTCATCAGCATTCTTTATTTGTGTGAAGAATTCAGTTGATTTATCATTTAATAAAAGAGTCCACGAACGTATTGTATCATGTATTTCTTTAGCAGTTGGTCTTTTATCTTGTTGAGCATTCCAACATTTATTAATAAATTCATTAATTAACTTTGGTATGTTTTCTGGAATATTTGGACGTAAACCGCGCCAAATATTACGTGCCAAATGAATGTCATGTGAAGCATTGTGATACGCAAATTGACCTGATGTTATTTCATACACTATCATGCCAAATGAATATATGTCAGATGCCAGGCTATAGTCATTTTCAAATAAAACTTCAGGTGCTATATATGGCATGACACCATATACTTTATTGTATGATCTCATATTAGCTAACGTTGTAAGCCCTAAGTCTGCAATGTATGCACTTTGCAAGCTATTTAACAGTATATTTCCGCTATGTAAATCTCGGTGAATAAGACCTTGATTGTGAATTATCTGAAGATCTGTAGCGATGCAGTCCAATAATGTTAGTTTCTTTTTCCATTCCATTTTTGATATAGAATAAATATTTTCACGTAAAGATCCCATTAATGCATATTTCATAACAAGAATATAGTCTTCAGAATCATAATCTTTTGATATACCCAAACATTTTAAAAAAGTTGGATTCTTAACAGCGATGTCACAATATGCTTTTAACTAAAAAAAAATAAATAAAATAAATAAAACAGCATTATAAGAATTAATGTAAGCCATTAGTAACATAAGAAAATTTCAATGATAATTTACTTCTTTTACAAATTCTTCATGACAGCGTTTTGATCCGTGAATTAACTTAAGCGCTACCGTTCTAACGACTTTATTTTTTTCCCAAACTGCAGAATATACTGTTGCAAAACCACCATTTCCTATCTTTTCGATATTTTTAAACTCATTATAATCAATCCATTCCACTTGGTATTTATTTTCGATCAACATACTTTTCAAATTACTATCGATATTAGAATTTTCATATGCCCATTCCTTTGTAGCTAAATTATACTTTCAGTATTAAATTAAGAATTATTTTATTTTATTGCGCTATAACAACAAAATTACCTGATGATAGTTTATTTTCCCTGAATAATATTCAAATCATTTAATAAGTCGAATGCATAATAAAGAAAGAAAAACAAAAAATTGTTAGCTTATTTACATTCGATACCAATATTCGGCTTTTTGCAAATCTCTTATTACACCATCGCCATTCCTATAACAATCAGCAACACGACTTATTCCAGTATAATCTCCTGCTTCGGCGGCTTTTTTAAACCAAATGAATGATTTATGTACATCCTTTTCGACTCCAATTCCATTTCGATAGCAATTACCAACATTATTCATTGCTGAAAGATAACCCATCTCTGCAGATTTTTGATAATAAATGAATGCCTTATGTTCATCCTTTTCAACTCCAATTCCTTCACTGTAACAATAACCAACATTGTATGTTCCACTAGCGTCTCCCATCTCTGCAGATTTTTGATAATAAATGAATGCTTTACGTACATCCTTTTCAACTCCAATTCCATTTCGATAACAATATCCAACCAGAAATGATCCATCAGCGCTTCCTATCTTTGCAGATCTTTGATAATATATGAATGCTTTATGTTCATCCTTTTCAACTCCGAACCCATATTGATAACAATATCCAACATTTTGCATTGCTGGAAGATAACCCATCTCTGCAGATGTTTGATAATAAATGAATGCCTTATGTTCATCTTTTTCAACACCAATTCCATATTGATAACAATATCCAACAGAAAGTATTCCAGTAGCGTGCTCCATCTCTGCAGATTTTTGATAATAAATGAATGCTTTATGCTCATCTTTTTCGACTCCAATTCCTTTTTCATAACTATATCCAACACAATATATTCCATTAACGAATCCCATGTCTGCTGATTTTTGATAATAAATGAATGCCTTATGTTCATCCTTTTCAATTCCGATTCCTTCTTCATAACAATATCCAGTATTAAATGCTCCCTTAGAATCACCCATTTCCGCGGATTTATGATGATAAATGAAGGCTTTATGATTATCCTTTTTTTCAACTCCAACTCCATTTCGATAACAACATCCAACATTAAATGTTCCTTTAGCATTCCCCAACTCTGAAGATTTTTTATAATAAATGAATGCTTTATGTACATCCTTTTCAACTCCAATTCCATGTCGATAACAATGTCCAACCAGAAATGTTCCATCAGAATTTCCTATCTCTGCAGATTTTTGATAATAAATGAATGCTTTATGTTCATCCTTTTCAGCTCCAATTCCATCAAAATGACAATTGCCAAGTGCGAATGTTCCGTTAGAGTTCCCCATCTCTGCAGATTTTTGATAATAAATGAATGCTTTACGTACATCCTTTTCAACTCCAATTCCATTTTGGTAACAATGTCCAACCAGAAATATTCCATCAGCGCTTCCTATCTCTGCAGATCTTTGATAATATATGAATGCTTTATGTTCATTCTTTTCAACTCCGAATCCATATTGATAACAATATCCAACATTATGCATTGCTGGAAGATAATCCATTTCTGCAGCTTTTTGATAATAAATGAATGCATTATATTCATCTTTTTCAACACCAATTCCATATTGATAACAATACCCAACCTTAAGTATTCCATTAACGAATCCTATCTCTGCCGACTTTTGATAATAAACGAATGCTTTACGCTCATCTTTTTCGACTCCAATTCCTTTTTCATAACTATATCCAACACAATATATTCCATTAACGAATCCCATATCTGCAGATTTTTGATAATAAATGAATGCCTTATGTTCGTCCTTTTCAATTCCAATTCCTTCTTCATAACAATATCCAGTATTAAATGCTCCTTTAGCTTCACCCATTTCCGAAGACTTATGATAATAAATGAATGCCTGATGATTATCCTTTTTAACTCCAATTCCTTCGTCGTAGCAATATCCAACGTTATATGTTCCACTAGCATCCCCCATCTCTGCAGATTTTTGATAATAAATGAATGCTTTATGTTCATTCTTTTCAACTCCGATTCCATATTGATAACAACATCCAACATTATATATTCCACTAACGCTTCCCATCTCTGCAGATTTTTGAAAAACAATGAACGCCTTATTTTCATCCTTTTCAACTCTAATTCCTTGTTCATCACAATATCTAATTTGATTTATTCTATCAACGTTCCCAATCTCTACAGATTTAGAACCACGAATAAATTCTTCATTAGCGTCTTCAATCTCTTCCTCTTTAACCCATCTTCCAGAATAATTTGAAAGAATACTTCGATCAACCAGGTCATTATCATAAGTTTTTTTTAAATTTTGTTTTATTGACATTTTGATGTAACTATTAAGAAAATAAATAAAGATAAAGAAAATAGTTATAATAAAAATTCAGAGAATAATTTTGATTTTATTCAGAATACGTTTTGTATATTATAAATTTATTTGCAGTGTCAAATTTAGAATTGAGCTTAATCACTTGGGCATAATTAAATTTGAACAATATTTAAAGCGGAAAACAGATACTGTTATGTCCGGAGTATAGATGGTGGTAGAATTCAAAAAAGGAAATTATACCTACTAATCATTTTCATTGTTAACATTTAGCAGATAAGTTACACTAATATGCAAGTATATGCAAGAATATGCAAGTAGGCTGTCAGATGATCGGAACGGAGTGTGCGATTCACGACACTACCTATGCGTAGCAGCTATCTATTGATTTTCCGAGTAATATATCAAGTGAGAGCCCTAATTTCCTCCCACCACTTTCTGATTGGACGCAATAAGTAGCCTCTGATTGGGCAAAACAATTACGCCACATAAAAAAATAAACGAATAATTGCGGCCAAAATTTTAATCGCTAAAGTATTTTCTTAAATTTTAAAACTTTCCCCAAGTTACTTTCGCGAAAACATTAATTCAAACTTTTCACCAAATCATTTTTGTGAGAACATTAAATTTAAACTTTTAACCAAATCACTTTTATAAGAATATTGAGTTCAAAACTTTTATCAAATTACTTTGTGAAAACAATTGTAAACTTTTTTTTATACATCAAACATTTTAAATTCAACCAAAATAATTCAATTATGAACTTAAATATTTTAAATATATATATTATTAATTTATTTGAGAATGTAACTTATATAAAATGTTTTTATCTTATAGAATTGTTTGTTCAGTATAAAAGAAAAGGAAGTTGAATTTTTAGTGATTTTTTTTTTACTTTGTTATAAAATAAATACATGTAATGAAAAAATGTTAACAGTTAACAGATCTTAAAGATATGTTAATAATAATAATAATAATAATAATAATAATAATAATAATAATAATAATAATAATAATAAAATAATAATACTTATTTTGTTATAATTTTTGCATTTGGTAAACTCTTGACTCATTATTTTTATTATTATTGGTTATTTAAGAAATGAATTCTATTTTTATAATTCTTACATATTCCATTTGAGTAACTTGCTAAAAAGTTATTTGCAAA